GGAAGCGGGCAGGCACAGAACAGGTGTTGAGCTTTGAGACGTCTCAGCCAAAGCTCGCTTGCTGCCGGGGCCATGGGTGGGGGAAAGGAGAGAGGACCAGTGGAGAGCAGGTGCTGGGCCAGGAAATAGCATGCTCGGTCCCTTGAGAACTATTAAGTGGGAACCGGCTGACCTATCCTGTCCTGCACAGGTCAGTCGGTTGCAACCCATTTGGATGAGTAGCAATCGACTAACCTGTGCAGAATGCCATGCGTGAACGGCACGTTGGGCTGCATGGCGGCGAGCGAATAGAGCGACTGACTGACGGACTGACTGACGGACTGACTGACGGACGGACTGACTGACGGACTGACTGACGGACTGACTGACGGACTGACTGACGGACTGACTGACGGACTGACTGACGGACTGACTGACGGACTGACTGACGGATTGACGGACTGACTGACGGACTGACTGACGGACTGACGGACTGACTGACGGACTGACGGACTGACTGACGGACTGACCGGCTGACTACACGACCGACTGACCTGTGCAGGATGCCCTGCGTGAACGGCACGTCGGGCTGCATGGAGGCGAGCGCGTAGAGCGGCACGAAGCCAAGCGAGTTGTCGAACACGAAGTCGCACGCCTGAGAATGGGGGACGGAGAGCGGGAGGAATGAGGCGCGAACGGTGAATGTAGGGACCGCGGAAAGCGAACGACAGAGTGCCGACAGGAGAGGGGAGAGAGGGGCGAGAGGGGAGAGAGGGGAGGGGCAAGTGGAGCGGCACGAAGCCAAGGGAGTTGTCAAGCACGCAGGCGCGCGCCTGGGGTGGCAAGCGAAGAAGAGCGAAAGCAGACAGGGGATGGTGTCGCAGAGGGAGAGAGAGTAAGGGGGGGGAAGGGGGAATTCGATCCCCCCCGCTAAACTCTCCTCGGGGCCTCTTTCTCTTCCTGCCTGCTCCTGAAGGCCATGCTCTTCCAACCTCCACTTCGTTTCGAAACATCTCCCTCGTAGCCTCGACTCCGCGGCGTCACTAACACCCATCCCTTCCAAGCACATCTCCTTCCTCCCATCGCCCCGTTTACCCCCGTTGACCCCCGTTGACCCCCGTTGACCCTCCCACCCCAGGCAATCCCTCCTTCCCGTTTAGCTACTCGGTTTCTCCACCCGAGGTGACGCTTGAGTCGACCCAAACGTCGCCCCGGCTACTCTACCTCCTCTCTTGCGCCGACTCAAATGCCACCTGGTTGGTTTACTCTACCCGCCACTGAATCGACCCCTTCCTGCGCTCCTCCCCCTCATCCGCTAACCTCGTGCGAACCGCACCCTAGCCTCGTGCGAGCCGCGCCCTAGCCCCATGCGAACCGTGCCCTAGCCTCGTGCGAACCGCGTCATAGCCTATGCGGGCAAGCCCTAGTATTCGAAAGTAACCATACGGGAGAAACCATGCGACAGTTACCTGGAATAACCTTGCGACGGTTCCCTCGAGTAACTATGCGACAGTTACCTGGAGCGCGAAGAAGCAGGAGGTAGGCAGAAGGTTCGGCTGATTGGAGCTCCCGGGTGGGCTCGCTGTCGCCTGAGCGGACAGCGCGGTGGCGCACGCTATGAGGTTAACGAAGCAGAGCGTAGCGAGTACGCTGCAGGCGAAGCCGTGCGACAGCAGGACTGTACTCGGCGTCAATGGTCGTCGCGTCCGGGCGACGACGCGGCGGGGCTGCGACGCGGGGCTGGTGATCGCATGGCTGCGACACGACGACCCTGCGACGCGATCGCACGACGTCGCATCAGCGCCCTCGCCCGCCTCACAGCTCCAGGCCCCTGCGACGACCATGCCCACCTCTTCATTCCGCTCCATAACCCCCGCCCTATCCTGCCGCGCCATGCACGCACCCTCTCCTCCGGCCATGCGCGAACCCTCTCCCCGCACCCCGCGCGCACCATCTCTCTGCGCCATACCCGCCTGATCCTGCCCCTCCGTGCGCGCACCCTCTCTCCGCCCCGAGGCTGCAAACTGGTCTTCGGCTCGAGGGAGAGTTGTAGAGTCGATGCGCGATCGACAGCAACCCTCCGGATCTGCAGAGACCGCGACTCCAGCGGAGAGTGCGGTGCTCAGGGGTGATGCGTCTTGAACAGGTGTCTGCAGGGGTGATGCGTACGCAGCAGGCGATGCTCCACTCAGCGGTCGGTCAGCATTCCCACGATCGAGCGGTAAGCTACGTGACGAGGCTTCCGAAGAAGGGGCTACGGCACGGGACGCCATGGATGTCCCCCTGACGTGGTACCGGTCGTCAGCGTGAGAAAGCGGGGTTGGGAGATGAGATAGCAGGGATTGGCTTTGCCGCTTCGCCATAGCCAACCTATATGGATGATCGGAAAAAACGTACGTAATAAAAAAAACTCTCCTGGTTATATGCCCTTGAGTGTTGAAGGATGCAAGTATCCGATGCCTGGCTGGTAATGGACTCCTCTCCTGGTGTCCGGACCTGGACTTATACGACGTCCTCGGTACAGCAACTAACGATCAGTAGCACTTGGACCTAAGTAACTAGGACGGATGCCGCTTCCTAGCTCGCGGATTACGCTGGTGCTCGCGTCTCGAGAGCTACGACGGTGCTTCACGGGGTGCTCTGGCGAATGAACGAACGAACGAGAGAAAGAGCCGAAGAGGTGACTTTTGAGTCGACTCAAAAGCTACAGCAGTGATACACGGGGTGCTCTCACGAACGAACGAAAGAGCCAGGGAGCAACAAGGTTCCGTGATGCTCGGCTTGCAATGACGGTACAAGTGGAAAATGACTGGTCCAGCGGCTAAGGACGGTGGAGGACCCCTTCAGGAATCTGAAAAAAGGTCGAAGTACAGTTACTCTAGAGATACGACCTAGTCGAAAGGCGGATTTCAAGACGCCTCAAAACGGAAATACAGTACGAGTGCTCTAGGTGCCGTAGGGCCTACTGGAGGGATGGATAGTTGCTCGCAACGCAACACAACGCAATGGAAGAAACCTAGAATCGGTTCCTGCCAGGGATAATTCCAGTGCTGCCACTGTACCGACCATACAGGCCTAGAACGTTTCTGTGTGTGTCAGCGAAGTGGGGAGCGCACGTTGAGGTTTGGTGGGACAGAAGAGGGAGGTAAACCCGCTGGAAAGTTTGAGAGAATCGAGTCGAGTCGGGACAAGCCGACAGTGGGGAGTGTAAAACCGAAATGGGGAAGGGGAGGGATATGGTAGGGAGGAAACGAAGCCCGGCTCATCTGCGGAATTTCCATGGCTTTTATGGCGATGCTCGGTTCGGTGGATTGAAGCAGTAGGAGCGTGAAGTTTTACTGTAGGTCGGTCGGTGTGCGAAAGAAAGCGAGAGAAATGGTACATCGGGTGGTGGGAGGGAGTCGGGGTGGATGTGAGCCAAGGAGGGACTTGGTTCAAATCGGTTTACCTTGTTTTGTATCGGTTCGTTTAGGTATCAATAGGTACGACCAGATCGGTTGGGCAGCACGGTAATGGGAAAGGTTTGGGGGGATGGGGGAAAGGGGGAAAGGGGTTTGGCGTAAGGTCAAGCAGAGCAGGAGGGGGGATGGTCGGAGAGGGTGGCTTGGCGGAGGGCGGATGTTTTGCACGCGACGCAGCGGCTGTGTGCAGCAGGAGTAACAGGGGGGGTTGAACACAGGGCGATGCATCGCCTCAGGGCGGGTCCAAATGGTTCAATTGGGGTTTTCGTACACTTCTTTTCGAACTCAGCTACAGCTGAAAACGATCTCCAGATCCTTTTTCCCCCCAACCGCGTCTGGCATTGCGAATGAAAATATATATACAGTATATAGAAGCTGGCACCACTGGGTGCGGCAAAAAAAAAAACGGTTCGCCTCTGACGCCCCAAATCGCAGTTACCAAATCTCGCTTCCCGCGAAACAAAGTTTCGTGCTGGGTTGGGTGGCAGGTGCGATTTGGTGTTGCGCCACGCGAGCTGTTCGCAAGGTCGCCTTGTTCTCGCCAAGCCCGTCTTGGCGAAGCCCCAAAGCGCCACACGTGTCCACCCACCCCCAAACTTACACCTACCGTCACCCAAATCGTAAACGGGATACATGTACCTTCACATGCGTCGAGCGTCCAGAGTTACGGCTATTTCTGGCATGTGTCCTCGCGAAATCCAAACGAGGCTAACTTCGGGTCACTTTTCATGAAATGAATAGAGCATGAACTAATTGGGCCCGCCCTCATGTCTGTCACAGCGGGCTTAGCTGGTCAGGAGGACACTACGGGTGAACAGAAGACGATCAGGGGGGGGGGGGGGGGGGGAGGGGGGAGAAACGGCATGCGCGGCGGGTGGGGGGTGGAATGGTGTAGCGATTGCTACTGGTCGGCTGGCTGCTCCCAGTTGACTCCCCGGTCGCGAGAAACTTGTGCGATCAGGGGAACCCGTGACTGGAAATAAAACATTGTTTTACAATTACGCACGCCGTTATTAGGGTGATGTTCCTTCCTGAAGACCATAGATTTTGAAAAGCAAGAAAATCGACTTGCTATCCTGCCCATAGATTTGGGAAATCGACATATCTTTTGGGGCTACGACGCACTCTTGGGAAGGGAACTCCCAGAAACCACAGGCTGGTGGGGGGGAGGGGGGGGGGGGGGGGGGGGTTGGGGGGGGAGCAGCACTGCAAAGAACATGCCAATCAAGCACCCGCTCCCAGCATCAACAGCTCTCAGGCGTAGCTGGTGAAAGCAACGCAGTTTGTCGGCGGGCAGGAGAGTGAGTACAGTCTGTACAGTGACTCACCACCGATCCGACCCAAATTTTGGGCGACAGTGACCAGTCAATGGAAACGTGGCCGGTGGATGCTTTTGTTTGGTCTTGTGATTGCTTTCAACAGATTGGGTTCGGTTCGGTGGTTCAGCAGCAAGCGGTCGCAGCGCACTCTGTGCGTGGCGGGGATCCAAGTCCCACTGCCATGAATGCGATACCAGATATCCGTTACCGCCAAAAACATTTCATTTTCAACCTAAGAAAGGAGCAGAAACTGAGAGGCTGTCTTATGGAAGATTGCCAGACATAATACCGATATCAGAATGACTTATTGTGAAATAATCTTATCCCTCTCACTTCGAACAAATCCATCCTGACCCGGGTATCGGCCATCTTTGTCTGGGCGCGCAATGTCAAACAGATGTGAAACAAAGCCGTACGTGTTTCCCCCAAGCCTGCACATAGGACGCAACTTCACTGCAACACGTAGGGGCAATGGAGTGATGGAACACAGAGCTGTGATGAATATAAAGGAAGCAAAAGATAACATGCTTTTACCTGATTTCTCAAATTTCATATGTCCTCATAACACGAACAATTGCTAAGGCCACAATTGAAGTTACCCAATATAACAAACCTGGATCAACGATCAGTTTCCCAGTGTTCTGGGTGCGTGTAACCACTTGCTCAGAAAAGTGGAACATAACCACCTCTGCAAGAACAACCGTTGTTGTCACACTTCCATCCCTGGTGTCGGATGCACATTGAAAGGCAACAGAAAAAACCCATAATTGAAAGTGAAATCACCATGCTCATAATGTCCTAGTGATGTCCTTCAGCTGCACAAAATGACTGGGGCAGGGCTCTCCTGTCTCTCATAACTGACATCAGCAGAAGTAGGTTTCACATGTCTATGACGTCATATGTGTGTCTGACAACACACTCCATTATCACTGCTTTCTCCTGGTGCCAACGCAATTATCGCTCACATCACCACAACATGCACCATCATGATGGGTTCACCTGTCTGTGACGTCATATGTGTGTCTGACAACACACTCCATGTTCACTGCTGACTCAGCCACTCGGGGAGGCTTCACCTGGGGCAGGTGGAAGGAGAAAAAAAAAACATTGGGGGGTCGAGGGGAGAGGGAGGGGGGGGAGAGGGGGGGGGGGAGGGGGGGGTGTTAGGGGGAGTGTTGGGAGGGAAGGGGGGGGTGTTGTGGCAGAGAATTCCGTGAGAGAGGCTCAAGAAGAAATTACTGGAAGCAGCCATGGTATCGTGAAACAGTGGACATGGTATCGTAATGAGAGAGAGGGCCTGCGAGCACGAGAGACATCAAAGTGCAGAAGCCATCATTTGTACAGACAACATCTCACCACAGCATAGGGCACAGGGTTGCGCGAGACCAGCAAGATGCATTTCAGAAGAAATTGTCGCAATAGAGCACTATACCATACAGCATCTCGTCCCGTCTCACCGCAACAGAGGACACGAGGGTCGAGACCAGCAAGATGCAGCTCAAAGACAACTGTTGTAATTGAGCACTATACCATACAGCATCTCGTCCCGTCTCACCACAGCAGAGAGCACGGGCGTGAGACCAACGATGCGCATCTCATCCACGTGAGGGGGGAACCGTTTATGCCAGAGGGGGTTTTTGAGTCAACTCAAATCACCAGCAGAACATGGGCGCGAGACCAGAGAGCGTATCTCATCCACGTGAGGGGGGAACGGGATATGCCAAAAGGATGTTTTAGTCGACATCAGCCTCAGCACGGGCGTGCCAGAGGGCACTATAGCATCAGCATTGTAGCATCAGCACCCTAGCATCAGCACCATAGCATCAGCATTGCAGCATCAGCACTATAGCATCAGCATTCTAGCATCAGCATCGTAGCATCAGCATCGTAGCATCAGCATCGTAGCATCAGCATCGTAGCATCAGCATCGTAGCATCAGCACCCTAGTAGACATGAGCAAAACCGGGTAATTACCTGACCCGGCTCGGTTTTGCCCTACCCGCGATCTGAACCGGGTCGGGTCGGGTTGGGTAATTTCCGGGTAATGTTTGGAGATCTGTTACCCGACCCGCATTTTAATCCCGGGTAATTGGGTACCCATCTGGCGGGTCAGGTATACCCGACCCGCATTTAATTGACGTCGGGTAATATTACCCGGGTACCCTAGGTGGCTGCAAAATTCAGCAAACCCGGAGTAACAAAACCGAAGCCGGGTCGGGTACCCGCGACCCGACAGGTAATAAATTACCCGACATTTCGGGTAATTCTCGGGTAACGGGTATGCATTACCCGGCCCGAGTACCCGACCCGACCCGGCCAGGTAATTCGTCAAGATCCTATTACCCGACTCGGCCAAAATGTCGGGTCGGGTCGGGTACCCGCGACCCGACCGGGTAAAATGCTCAAGTCTACACCCTAGCATCAGCATCGTAGCATCAGCAATATAGCATTAGAGCATCATAGCGTTGCACACCCTCGTCGCTTCTCACCACAATGGAGGACACGGGAGTGAGACCAGAGAGATGCACCTCAACCACATGAGAGGGGTATGGGGTTACGACAGAGGGCGTTACCACACTGAACCATGGCAACAAGCATCAAACGCATCGCACTTCTCACCCCAACAGAGGGCACGGGGGTGAGACCAGAGAGATGCACCTCAGCCACTTGAGGGGCTATACCATGGCATCATGGCATCATGAATCATGCATCATGGCATCAAGCATCATGGCATCAAGCATCATGGCATCAAGCATCATGGCATCAAGCATAATGGCATCAAGCATCATGGCATCAAGCATCATGGCATCAAGCATAATGGCATCAAGCATCGTAGCATCAAGCATCATGGCATCAAGCATCATGGCATCAAGCATCATGCATCATGCATCATGCATCATGCATCATGGCATCATTCATCATTCATCATGCATCATGGCATCATGAATCATGCATAATGGCATCAAGCATCATGCATTATCGCATCGCACTTCTCACCGCAACAGAAGGCACGGGCGTGAGACCCGCGAGGCGCATCTCATTGACATCAGGGGGGTACGGCCCACACGTGTGATTGGCTGCTTCCACGAACCAATCACTCATCAGCGCCACTACCAGCTCTCTGTAGCAGTGCACACACGAATCAGGTGTATCACAGTGTCAGTGCACAACCGGGGATGAAACAGATGTAATAAAGCAAAACATTAACAGGTACAACGGAACACGCATGACGGGGGTAACGGCCCACATGTGTGATTGGCCGCTTCCACGAACCAATCACTCATCAGCGCCACTACCAGCTCTCGGTGTCAGTGCACACACGAATCAGGTGTGTCAGTGCACAACCGGGGACTAAACAGGTGTAATAGACCAAAACATCAAAACTTGAGGGGCAGAGCAGGCATTAACAGGTATAACAGAGCAGGCGTGAGGGGCGTTAGGGCCCACACGTGTGATTGGCCGCCCACACGTGTGATTGGCGCGCCACCACCAGCTCTCTTATCAGTGCACACATGAAACCAGTGTAGCGGTGTGGCGGGTACACGCATGAAACCGGTGTAACGGTGTGGCGGGTACACACATGAAACCGGTGTAACGGTGTGGCGGGTACACACATGAAACCGGTGTAAGAAACAGTTTGCATGCATGCGGTACAAAACAGGCTAAGGTCGCGCCACTTTCGATATAGACACGGCGTCAACGATGCAACAAACTTTGGATGACTCGTGCAGTACCGTGTATCCAGTATGTTTGTAAGCGAATCCTTGGGCTTCCCACTCGACCAGCAATGGCCGATCGCAAGCAGGGGGGGGTTGTGAGCCACAGCGTTGAAGTAGGAGTAGGGAGAGAGGTTGCCGATTCCAGTCTGTGAGTTGCCAATAGAGGACATTCAGAAGCGGGAGGAAAAAAGAAGGGGAGGGTTGTGAGCCGCCACAGTGGTGAAGTAGGAGTAGGGAGAGAGATTGCCGATTCCAGTCTGAGGGTTGCCAATAGGAAAGGATTTAGGAAGAAGAGGGAGGTGGCAGGCAGGGGAGGGTTGGTCGCCACAGCATGAAAATGGGAGTAGGGAGAGAGAGACGTTTCCGATGCCAGTCTGAGTTGCGAGATAAGGGGGGGAAACTGGGAGCGGAAGTGAGAACAGGGAGGTAACTAACAAGCATGGGACAACTGTGGGCCACAGCGTTGAAGTTGGAATATGGTGACTTCTATGGGAGCATTGTGCGACATCAGATTGCAACGTCAGCATCAGAACGCACTGTCAGCAAACCCTACGAGTCATCAGATTGCAATGTCAGCATCAGAACGCACTGTCAGCAAACCCTACGAGTCATCAGATTGCAATGTCAGATCAGACTGCAATGTCAGCACCAGACTGCAATGTCAGCACCAGACTGCAACGTCAGCACCAGACTGCAACGTCAGCATCAGAAAGAACTGTCAGCAGAAGAAACAATGTCAAAATTGCTTCTAGACCCCACCTTGGAAAGTGTCGAGATGAAAGCTATAGGGCGTGGAACCACTGTGCTTATAACGAGGGGATACAGCACACTGCTGCTGCACTCTGCAACTCGCACACTCACCACCCCCATCTCCCCTCCTTCGTCTCCCGCTTTTTTATCCTCCCTCCCATCCTCCTCTCCCCTTCCCCCCCCTGCCCCATCCTCCTCTCCCCTTTCCCCCCCCCCCCATCCTCCTTCCGCCCACTATCAGCCGCTGAGGGGACAGGGAAGGGCGGCAGCAACCGCTCAGGAGCCCGCCAATTGGGATGTGGCGGACGGATCCACGTCACTGCCACGTCAGCGAGGTCCACACCTACGTCGGTCCGGGCTACAGATGTTGCAGCGGCAGTACCAGCAGCCGTAGCAGCAGTGGGTTCACTTGTAAGTGTAGCCGGAGCCTCTCCTGCAGCTAGTAGTGAAGCTGAATCAACGGGCGTGTCCCCTACATCAGCAGCTGCTGCTTTTGCGTCTGCTGATGATCTGGTGCCTGCTGCTGGTTTTGCTGCTGGTTGTTGCGCAGGAGGGGGGGGCAGAAAGCGACCTGGAGAGCGGGCAAGGGGGAGGCGGGGTTGGTCGGAGAGCGATGGGGAGGTAAAGGTAAACAGCGTTAGCTTTTGATAACTCTCTGAAACCAACTCAACTTCAGTCGGAGAGCGATGGGGAGGTAAAGGTAAACAGAGGAAAGAGTCAAAGGGTCGCTTCGTATGAGGGGAAAAACTCTTTTCAAAGGGAAACAGAGAGCGTGCGCGAGTGAGGGAAACAGAGAGCGTGCGCGAGTGAGGGAAACAGAGAGCGTGCGCGAGCGAGGGAAACAGAGAGCGTGCGTGAGTGAGGGAAACAGAGAGCGTGCGCGAGTGAGGGAAACAGAGAGCGTGCGCGAGTGAGGGAAACAGAGAGCGTGCGCGAGTGAGGGAAACAGAGGAAGACAAGAGGACACACCAAGAGCAAGAGCAAGAGCAAGAGCAAGAGCAAGAGGCGAAATAGCGGGAAAGCCCTGACTTATTCCCACACTCACCTAGAGCACCTCTTAGTTGCCGACCGACCAATGGCAACAGGGCGCCCGCCACCAGGCCGGCAACCCCAGCGCACGCCACCGAACCTACAGCGAACTTTGACGAACCTGCGCCGGGCCTCCCCGAAGCTGCTGTGGTTTGGGCTTGGTCCATCTCTAACTCGCGAGAAGGAATCAGTCGGGTTTTCTCTCGATTCGATTCGTTTTCATAAGAAATCAAACCAATCCAAGTGTGCAATCTTACTGGCAGAAGCAGCTGCAAGTGCGGGTTTTTTTCACGCAAGCGGATTCAAGAGGTGAAATATACCGAGTGGTCGGTCTAGCACACGGGTCTTGCAGCCTGAACGGTGCGCAATTCTAGCTGCAGAAGCAACATGGCTGAGTGGAGCGGACGAGTCCGTGAATGCGTTGGTCCTAGCTGGAGGAAATTGGCAAGCCGTTCAAAATAGGCCTCTCAAATCTGAACCAACCGTTCTGAACATTGTTGCGGCTGTGTGTAAAAGCTGACCTCAAATTTGCTAGTGTCAGCAACCTTGGAGACCCAGACAACTCGATCTTTATACTAAACAACTCTCTAAAACTGCTAAAGCAGTATGGATTTCCGTTCACGAGGACTGTAAGGAAATGGTATTTCCTTATCACGGGTTTTAGTTGATAAGGCATACACTGCTATAACGGGGTTGCCGCGCAGCTCTGCCACGAAATTCAAATCGCAGTACCCAAATGTGGCCTCTTGACGAGCCGCATGCATTTTGTCCGCCTTGTCAAACACTTGTATCTCGAATGTTTGTATACACTGAATAGGGTCACCTCTTAGAGAGTATAACCCTTAGATATATATCCTTGTACCCACGTTCTCTAGTCATTCATTATTCAGTTCTAAGATGGTATCAGCAGTAGGTAGGTCCCGCCGCCCGCCCACGCTTCCGCTCTAGGACCTAGCCGCCCCCGCGCCCGTCCTAGTCGACCCCGTGACCGCCCTAGCCGCGCCCTAGCCGCCCGTCCTAGCCGCGCCCGCGCGCCCATTCTAGCTGGCCCCTGCGCCCGTCCTATCGGCCCTGCGCCCGTCCTAGCTGGCCCCCGCGCCCGTCCTACCGGCCCCCGCGCCCATCCTAGCCGGCCCCGCGCCCTTCCTAGCTGGCCCCCGCGCCTGTCCTACCGGCCCCCGCACCCGTCCTAACGGCCCCCGCGCCCGTCCTAGCTGGCCCCGCGCCCGTCCTACCGGCCCCCGCGCCCGTCCTACCGACCCCCGCGCCCGTCCTAACGGCCCCCGCGCCCGTCCTAGCCGGCCGCGCGCCCGTCCTAGCTGGCCCAGTGCCCGTCCTAACTGGCCCCGCGCCCGTCCTAGCTGGCCCCGCGCCCGTCCTACCTGGCCCCTGCGCCCGTCCTACCGGCCCCCGCGCCTGTCCTAGTCGGCCCCGCTCCCGTACTACCGGCCCCAGCGCCCGCCCTAGGCCCGTCCTAGCTGGCCCCGCGCCCGTCCTTCCTGGCCCCTGCGCCCGTCCTAGCCGGCCCCGCGCCCGCCCTACTGGTCCCCGCGCCCGTCCTGCCAACCCCTGCGCGAGCCCTGCCCGTCGACCTCCGGCCCCGTGCTCACCTTCCCGCCGATCTGCCGCCGTTCTGTGTGCGGCCCGCTCTTCGGGTACTGCCCTGCACCCTCCCTGGTACAGTTCTGCATCCCCCTGCACCGCACTGCACCGCGCTGCACTGCACTGCATCGCACTGTACCGTACTGCACCGCACTGCCCCCCGCACTGTCCCGCCCTGCATCGCACTGTGCTGTCCTGCACTCCACTGACTCGTCTGGCGCCGCCCTGCACTGTTCCTGATGGCGGGGGAGCTTCGCTTCGACGCTGAAGGCCAGCCTCTGGAGTTCGAGGCCTGGCTAGCCGACCTCCGCCGCCACCGTACTGGCCAGCGGCAGGATAGCCACTCGCTTTCGGTACACCTTGACGGTACGCTTCCCTGCCCAGACCCCCCTGCTGTGCTGCCAGCTGACCCCACACCTGCTGAGCGTGAGTCTGCTGCGGCCGCTGCCCTTGCTCGCTCTGTCTGGCTTTCCTGTGACGCTGTCGCACAGCTTGCTATTAACAATGACCTCTTCCTGTCTGAGCGCCCACGCTTTCGATCTATCACCACCGCCTAGGCTTTCTTAGATGCTATTATCCAGCGCTATTCCACCCTGCCTGCTGCCTCGGTGGGTCGCCTGATCCTCCCTCTCCTCTTCCCTGACCTAGCGTCGTTCCCCACGGTTGCTGATCTAGCTGCCCACCTCCGCACGATAAATGAAACCTGGCGCCCTGCCTGCACTGGCGCACAGCTTAGAGCCCATCAGCCGCCCCTTACCTCTCCCTCTACCTGCTTGCCACCCGCCTCCCTGACCGCCTTTCCGCTGCTCGTAACCGCTTCCTTAGCATTCACCCCGGTGACCTCACCCTCAAAGACTTTGCAGACACCCTGACTATAATCGAGACCCGCCACTGCTCTATCGCCCAGGCGAGCGGTACTGTGCCGGTCCCTATCTTTCAGGGTTGTGCCCCCGCTCAGTGCACCTTCTCCGATGGTTCTGCCGCTATGGCTGAGACCGCCGCTGCAGCGCAGTTCCGTCCGGGGAAGGGTCGCCGCCCCATGTCTGGGCGCGGCGGAGGGGGTGGGGGTGCAGGCGGAGGTACTGGTGGCGTCGGGTCGCCTGGTGGTGGAGCGGACGAGGGGACCCTGCCGGGTTCGGCTGAGCAGCCGCCCCAGCAGCCGCAGCAGTCGCAGCCCCCGCACCAGCCACAGCACCCGCCGCAGACGAGGCCGGCGAGTGGCCTCCCGCCCGGGTGGCCTGGCGCTGGTGGTGGCCATGCGCGTGGTGGTGTACCGGGTGGCGGTTTGGGAGGCGTGCGCTGTCAGTACCAGCTCCAGACCGGTCCTCGCCGCGGCTTCGTTTGCGGAAAGATCGGTCACACCACTGCCTGCTGTTTTTGTCGCCTGGACGACCTGTTTCGTCAGCGCTTCGGGCCATCGCCCGACCTCCCGAACTGGCACAGTTTGCTTAGTCGTAGAGTTTATATTTTTTACATGGACATGGATGCCATTGTTGCTGCCCTGCATGTGAAATATGCTGATGACTCTAGTGTGCTACCCTCTTAGTACTCCTGGTCACCTAGTGTAGGTGTGCCTAGCTTAGCCTCCCCTGCTGCGTCAGGCGTAGGAGCTCCTGCTTTGTCTAGCCTTGGTGCTTCCGTCGTTGCCCCGTCGCCAGACGCCACTGCTGCGCTTTCCTTCACCTTGGACTCTGGCCCTTCCCGGTGTTTCTTCCGCGACTCCACTACGCTGAAGCCGCTTCCTGTTCCTGCTGCCGTTTCTCTTGCTGACCCCTCCGGCGGTCCAGTAGTCGCCCCCAGTTCCACCACACTTCCCTGTCTGGCGGTTCCTTCGGGCTCTCTCATAGGTCTGCATATCCCCTCGTTCTCCAGGAACCTAGTTGGTGTCGGCTGCCTCCAGGACCTTGGCGTCACCACTACGTTCCCTGGTCACGAGCGGTATGCTGTCTGTACCGAGGCCGCCACTAGTGCCCCCCTTTCCACGTTCCCCCTGAACCCGGTGTCCAACCTCTTCACCCTGGACACCGTGACCCCCCCCGGCAAGGGCGCCCCCTCAGGTGGCTGCATCTTCCCAGGTTGCTGCTGCCTGCTTGTGTCGGTCCCTCACTCACCCGACTCTCCTGAGGCACCACCGCCTAGGTCACCCTGCGCTCCTGCGGCTGCGTCACATGTCCCAGCACGGTCTCGTCCTTGGTCTCCCCGGTTCGTTTCCCGCTTTTCCCTCCTCCCCCTCCCCATTGTGCACGCCTTCTGTCGAGGGTCAGCTTCGCCGTGCCCCTCACTCCTCCTAGTTTCCCCCTACCGCCGCGCCGCTGCAGACCCTGCACATGGACGTCTGGGGCCCCGCCCCCGTCCATGGGCCGCGTCGAGAGCGCTACTTCCTCGTGCTTGTCGACGACTTCACTCGCTACACTACAGTTTTTCCCCTGGAGCGAAAGGCCGACGTGCCTGACGCTCTCATCCCCTGGCTTGTCTATGCGCGTGTCCACCGAAGTCTCCCTGTCTTGCGTCTTCACTCAGACCGTGGTGGTGAGTTTGCCTCTGGTGTCCTTGGTCGCTTCAGTCGTGCGGAGGGCATCACCCAGACGTTCACCCTGTCGGACTCCCAACAGCAGAATGGGGTCGCTAAGCGACGCATCGGTTTGGTCATGGAGGTGGCTTGCACCTCCATGATCCATGCCGATGCACCCCATTTTCTGTGGCCGTTCGCCGTGCGCTACGCTGCTCACCAGCTTAACCTCTGGCCGCACCCCCAGCGCCCGCAGGTTTCGCCGGCCATTCTTTGGACTGGGTCCCCTGGTGACGCATCTGCGTTCCACGTCTGGGGTTGCCTTGCTCACGTTTGTGCCTCTGGCACGCACAAGCTCACTGCCCACACCCTTCCCTGTGTCTTTCTCGGTTTCCCCCTTGACACGTCCGACTAGCACTTCTGCCACCCGCCGTCTCACCGGTTCTTTCACTCTCGCGACGTCACCTCTGACGAGTCCGTCTCCTTCTGCCGTCGCTCTCCCCACCGCGGTTCCACTGATACTCCCCCCCTGTTCCTGGTCACTCCTTCCCCGGTGGTCCCTGCCCCCCCCCCTACCCCTCCCCGTCCTGCCCCCTCTGGTGTGTCCCACGTCACCCCTCTCCCGTCGGTTGTCCCGGTCGAGGAGTCTTCTGACTCTGGTGGTTTTGCGGTGCAGTCCTCACCGTCTGCCCCTCCCCAGGTATCTCCTCCTCCACCGCCTCTGCAGCCGACGTCGCCTCTGCTGTCGCAGCCGTCGTCTCTGCCGCCGTCGCAGCAACAGTTCGTCGACTCTGGGGGTGCTAGCGTTGGGGTGGGTGCTAGTCCTGGGGTTCCTGTCGTGGCCTGTCCCGGTGGCCCTGGGGGTGGTCCCGGTGCTCGAGGGGTTTCGGGCTCTTGGGGTGTTCCTTCTGGGGGTGCAGGACTGGAGGTGCCGGAGGTAGCCGAGGAGCAGCTTGCGATCCCGGTGTCGCTGTTGTGCCGCCGTAGGAGCAGTCCCCGCCGGTGTCTGCCCTTCGCCTGCTCGGCCTTCCGTCCCCTGGCCCTGCGTCTGTTCCTCTCCTGCCGTCTCCTCCTCTTCCTGTCTATGGCCCTGTGTTCCCTCCGCCGGACTCGTCCCCGGCTCGTCTTCCCCCTCGCTCCCCCCTTGTGTCCCCTCCTCTGTCTCCTGACCCGACACCTCCATCTCATGTCTGGTCCCGCCGTCCCTCCCGCGCTCGTTCTGTCTCCCCTGTCATGCGCTCTCACCCTATGTTGCTCCGTTCCCAAGCGTCTCGTCCTCCCCTTCTACCGTCGCCTCCTCTGTCCTCTCTTACCGTTGTGCCTCCTCCTCTGTCGGACTACCTTTGTGCCACTCGTCCTCT